CCCCCCCCCCCCCCCCGGCCCTCACCTCCACCCTGGAAATAGCTAGCAAGGGACGGATTAGAGACTGTTTTGGCCGTAGAGAATTTTCTTGAACTTGTATCGAGATTCAGCATTTTGGGACAATTAAATCCTGTATCTTGGTCAGATTCAAGATTTTTCCTTAATTTTTTTATCATGTAAAAATTTTAAGGCTAAACGTTTTGCTGATGAATTTGGATGATACTTCAAGTGAATATATTCATATTTTTAATCCACGATAATGCAAAATATGATAGGAATGTTTCATGCTTGATGGTAAATCTCAATAAAGAAATATAAACACTTTCTCACGAACACACTTATATAAATTCTATATTGATTAGCTCTGTGTGTGTGTATATATATATATATATATATATCATTTTTTTCTGCAATTATTATTTTTTTCTTTTTTGTAAAGATGGTTCAACTAGACCAAGCCGACCATTGTATCCAATTAGTTGAGTACCATATCACAGCCGTACTCGACTGCTCAAGCCTCAAGTTCGGTACTCAACTAGCTCGACAATTAGTGACCACAATATATACAACTGCAACCTTTGATTATATTAGCCTCTAATTAATAAGTACTATGTTTCACAATTTTGATCTGTATTTGGAAGACGTATATTCCTATAAAGTTATTAAATATAGAACTATTTTTTATGCAAAGACACTCTCAATTAAGTCTGTCAAATACATCTATTGGATTGTGCTCGACTACTAAACCTTAAGGTTGAATAAATCAACATATACTTGAGTAGTTCAACCATTACAATCAAGCCAATCGAGTACATATCAAATTTCTTCAATTTCTCTTAACAATGCCTACTCACTACTTTGTCTTTTTTTCCATGTCGAGAAAACGGAGTTTTTCAACTTTTTTTTTTCTCTCGTGTAACAATCACCAGCGTTGTGCTTCTTTCATTTGTGTTGACATAGATACACAACTAGCTCGACTATTAGAGTTGAGATTGTCTTATTTTCCACACCAAACAAATGCATGTGTTCAGCTTTTTTCCCTTCCGTAGTTATCACAAACATTGTGTTACTTTGTCTTGACATCGATATACAACTTGTATGGTTAAGATTTGCCCTATTGACTAGAGTTCTGCAGTTAAACAAACCGACCTTGTAATTAGTTGGGCAGTCTTGATCAATAGCTTGGTGGAGTCAGGTGAAAATTTAAGTTACTTAGTGACCCTTTAAGCTATGCATCACATCATATTCCCACATTAAAATGTTGCAAACTCAATATTTTACCTAAGAAATCTTTGAACACTGTACCCCCTCTTTAATGGTGGGTCCAAAAATCCATGCATTATTAAAACTTTACTAATATTATGTTATTTTCTATATTCTATGTAACTTAACTATATCTTAGTCACTAATCATGGATTATATATCATTAGATACCTTTGATTTTGCCCCTCATTAATTAAGTACTAAGTTGACAATTTTAAAGAAAGGAATGGAAGATATATCTTGCTTTGAAGTTATTGGAAATGGAGCTATTTCAATTTTAAATAATTTTATTTTTAATTAGAACTTATTTATTGACAATAAAGTTTTGTTTGTTGTTATTTGTTGATATTGTACTTTTACTCTTAATTGACTTATTACAATACTCTTCAATAGAAAACATTTTTCGAACAGAACAAACTAAGTCTATGTTTGTCTATCATTAATGTAGGAAAAAAAGTTTTGGAATAGTGAATTTTTGGTGAATATGTAGTTAATAATAGAAAAAAACATTTGAGTTTTACGTACAAAATATTTTATTGTGAGAATGTGCTGTAAAAAATGAATTTGAGAAAAAAAGAATTTTGAAATAATAGTAGACAAACAGGGGTTAAATTGTATTGTCAATGAATTTAAGAACGATGGTTTTAAACATGCATATTAAAAAAATTTGCTTTCAAAAAAAGTTTTAATTGCAATTTTCTCCAAGCAGATCGGTTTTTTTAGGCAGTTCAAAACCCTTTGCATTCTTATTCCATACTTAGGTAGCTCATAGCCTACGAGATGACCTTAATTGTCAAAGTACATGCTTTATATAAATATTCATGCATATACTTGAGAGATTTTTATTATGTCTCATCTTACGAGGCAGGTCAAGTGACGGCCAACTAAGTAAAGATGAAGTAAAAAAGCCACGCAAGGTTCACACTCTGCTACACCTCGCCCGCCAAGTCACTCTAGGGTTGTTGGAAAATTGGGCGAGGTGGTTTGGCACCTTCTTCGAAGTGGTTGGCCACCTCTTCCGATGTAATATATCTTCCTCCTAAGTGGTGCTTTCGAGGTGATGTCACTTACTTTCGAAGTGGTTCTTTTGAGGTGAGTGTGTGAACTGTTGCTTCAGTTTATTTTCAATGTGATGGGCTTCTACCATCAATTACATCTTTTACCGATACAACATCGATCAAAAGATACTCCATACAGAGATACTTATATATTTGACAAATTTGAAAGCCTACAACAGATAAGTTTAGTCAATTTCTCAAATTGCTTTTATGACATAGGATAGCTACTTTTTAGCTTATAGCAAGCAGCCACAAGCATTCGACAATTAGGATTGACACCTTTTGACTAGTGAGCACTCAAGATGAGATTACTTGTCAAAATTCAATGTACACCACTCCTCTCTTCATATAAAAGCTCACGGCTTTTTGCCCCCCCAAAGGTGCTATTATTCTAGCAATGAAACATCTTCTTCCTAGTAGCACAACTCTTGAGCACTGTTGTTATGATAGCTAGCTTGGTATTTTCTCTTCAACTAGAAGCCCGTTATTTTCTTCCATTGTGTATCTTTGACATCCAAAAATATATTCTATAAACTGACTTGAATGTCGAAATGTTACGATCGTCTCCCCCATTGTTGAAACTACGATTGCGTGCATCAACACTTTGTTTAAAGTATACAGGTAACTTACACGTGATCAAGAGTGAAGTTGGGATCCATCGAACACATATCTTGACAAATTTCGAGATCAACAACGATCTTTAAATCTTTCAATGGATATAACAATTATCACCGAACGGAATTGCAAGAAACAAAATTTGCAGTTGACTGGGGACAGTCCCTTTTGAGGCAAAATTGGGGTATAGCTCATGGTAAAAGAAAAATATTTAAAATCTATCTTTAACTTTACTCTAAATTATAGCTTCGATCAGAATTTATTGAAAATAAAGTTAAATTTCTTGCATATAACTTGGGATGAGCATTATAATTACATGATCTTGAATAGTTAGACTGAGAATCAAACTCATAATTGATATTTTCATCATGGGATGCGCAATAAAGAGTTGCTAATTAAACATTCTGGTCTGTCTTCGTGTCAATTGATTAGATAGTGCAAGTTGGTGCCTTGGCACCATTCACACTAATTACATCAATACCTTAGAGAATTCTCTCAACTGTTTTTATGTGACATACATAGATGGGTCCAAAAATTTATAAAGAAACGTGGGACACGTCATTACATATATCACTTGATTCCTTAGTCATGGAAAGGTGCATCACAACCATCATCACTTAGTCATAATTATAGAGACATCCCGTGTGATACTGTCGCTTGTTTTCAAATCATACGTTGGACTCAAGTAATTGTCCGATTCAAAGAAGTCATTTATCTGATCACGTGTGTTTCACTTGTGTCCAAGTCTCGTGACTCTAATAGTTAAGCAACTATTGTAAGCACTTTTAAGTTTGTTTGGCATAAAACGTGCGTTGCACCTTTTTATGATTTTAATGCTTCTTGAAGGAAAAAAAATAAAAATGAATTGACATCTAAATTGCCTTTATTAATAAAAAAAGATGTTGGGTTGCTGGGGAAAGATGATTTTTTTAATTTCTTTCCTGTTTAGTTAAGAGGGTAGTTTAGGAATTAAAAAACTGTTTTTATTTTATTTTAAAAGAGTACCAAGAAATTCTTTTGTGCGAGATAAAATTGCAGCGTGTCTTTGTAATTGTGACTATAAATATTAGGATAATACTATGTGTACATAATATTTTACACAATCATTACTCAATATGCCAAATATAAGTGATGTGCATAGGAAATATCAAGTTCTACATAAACAGGTTTAGACTAAGGGTAATGCTACATGTACACACACACTTTTACACAATCTTTTACACCCCTCTCACATGGAGGGGGGCGCACACACAATAAAATATTTGTGGGTCCCCCTCCATGTGAGGGGGTGTAAAACTATGTGTACACCACAAAGTGTATACATAGCATTATTCTAAATATTATTATCTTTACACAGATGAATGAAATCCTAGGATGGGATGGTCTAGAGATATCAGATCATCATTATGTGATGTGAAGATTGAAATTTTGTATCCAACTGCGCACCCTCAGCTGATTTGATGCACAATAGTTTATTAGTAATGTTATATAGCACAATTTCAATAGAATGTCGAATGGAAACAAGAAATACATCCGAAAAACAGAGAAATGTTCTAATTTCACCAAAAAGATACACCCTGCCACCGAGAATAGGTACTAAAACTCTGAATATTGATATAGTTTCAGTCGAACTACACCACATAGATGGTTTAAATGTAATATAGATGCATTCAACATATTTAATTAATCGATTGTGCTACAGGTACATTACAACTTATTACAAATTTGTTTACCAACGAGGTGGCTAAATTAGACTGAATCAAAATCTTACTAGCCAAAAAAAAAATCACTAATTTTTCGTGTCGTTAACTCACATTACACAAGCACAACTATTTAAACGGTGAAAAAATTTTGACAGGTCTGATTCAATTTATCTTCATCTCATCAATAGGTAAAAGAATCTAGTTCCTTAATTAATTACACATGTTTTGATTGTGGTTCTACATTTTCAATTACAAATGAAAATAGGGAAAGTTAACTTTGGTATTTTTTGTTTATAAATTAGTATAATAGTATAAAATGAAATATTTTGTATTTGTAAGGTATACATGATTTTTCTTCCCTTGATATGTATTTGTGGTTTGATGTTGGGCTGGGTTGAAATATATATTGGATTCAGCAGTATGTTTAGGTGGGCTTGGTTTTTGGGCTTTTTGGGTTATGGGATTGTTAAGCTGTGGGTTGTATTTAGTTGGGCTGTGGAAACTGTGTGAATGGACTTTTGGGCTAAAATTAATTACAGATCAACAAAAGATCGCAGTACTTTGGAACTGATTTTGCTTTTTGATTTGGGAAGAATACACAAAACCTACATATAATAAATCACAATTTGTTCATCGGTCACAAATCAAAATTTCATACGTCGTAATTTATTTAGGGAAGTGCTATGTGTACACACTCAATAGTTTACACAATCTTTTACACCCCCCTCACATGGAGGGGGGCGCACACACAATAAAATATTTGTGGGTCCCCCTCCATGTGAGAGGGTGTAAAACTATGTGTACACCACAAAGTGTACACATAGCATTATTCTAAATATTATTATCTTTACACGGATGAATGAAATCCTAGGATGGGATGGTCTAGAGATATCAGATCATCATCATTATGTGATGTGAAGATTGAAATTTTGTATCCAACTGCGCACCCTCAGCTGATTTGATGCACAATAGTTTATTAGTAATGTTATATAGCACAATTTCAATAGAATGTCCAATGGAAACAAGAAATACATCCGAAAAACAGAGAAATGTTCTAATTTCACCAAAAAGATACAACCTGCCACCGAGAATAGGTACTAAAACTCTGAATATTGATATAGTTTCAATCGAACTACACCACATAGATGGTTTAAATGTAATATAGATACATTCAACATATTTAATTAATCGATTGTGCTACGGTACATTACAACTTATTACAAATTTGTTTACCAACGAGGTGGCTAAATTAGACTGAATCAAAATCTTACCAGCCAAAAAAAAAAAAAAATCACTAATTTTTCGTGTCGTTAACTCACATTACACAAGCACAACTATTTAAACGGTGAAAAAATTTTGACAAGTCTGATTCAATTTATCTTCATCTCATCAATAGGTAAAAGAATCTAGTTCCTTAATTAATTACACATGTTTTGATTGTGGTTCTACATTTTCAATTACAAATGAAAATAGGGAAAGTTAACTTTGGTATTTTTTGTTTATAAATTAGTATAATAGTATAAAATGAAATATTTTGTATTTGTAAGGTATACATGATTTTTCTTCCCTTGATATGTATTTGTGGTTTGATGTTGGGCTGGGTTGAAATATATATTGGATTCAGCAGTATGTTTAGGTGGGCTTGGTTTTTGGGCTTTTTGGGTTATGGGATTGTTAAGCTGTGGGTTGTATTTAGTTGGGCTGTGGAAACTGTGTGAATGGACTTTTGGGCTAAAATTAATTACAGATAAACAAAAGATCGCAGTACTTTGGAACTGATTTTGCCTTTTGATTTGGGAAGAATACACAAAACCTACATATAATAATTACTTTTCAAAACTAACAAATTTGTTTAATTATTTCAAAAATAAGGTGGTAAATAGATTAATTAAATATTAAATTATAATATATTAAATATTAAATATTAAATTATAATATAATATATATTAATTATTTACACCCCATCACACCTCACCAACCCCATCTCCTCACTATACTACCTCCCTCCATCTCCGGCACCGGTCCGGCGAAGGCTCCGGCACCGATCTGGCCACTGCTCGGGTGATTTCTCTAGCGACCGCTCCGACGATTTCAAAGTTTTCAGAAATTTGAAAATCACACCCCAACCCATGGATTGGTCACAATTGGTCTCAACGAGTCACAATTAATCGGCCACAAACGGTCACAATCGGCCACAAAATGGCAATCTGGATCAGAAAAGTTCGCCAACACCACCAACTACAGTTGCAACCTTCAATTTGACCAGCTGTGACCAAATTTGTGTTCAGTGTGACCGTTTGTGATCAATTTTGTGTTAATTGTGACTTGTTCATATTCAAGTCACAAACGGTCACAATTAGCACAAAATTGGTCACAACCAGTCACAGTACACACATATTTGATCACAAATGGTCACCACAAAAAAATCTAAGTGAAAAAGTGGAGAAATAGAAATTACTGCCATTGAAGAACACAAATAAAAACCTGAGTGAAAAAAGTGGAGAAACAGAAATTAATGCCATTGTATTCTGCATTGCTAAACAATCAACTCAAGTTTAATTAAAACCTCAAAAGTACCCAATATCTACAAACTTATGAGGTATTTTGTCATTAAAAACAAAATTATAGAAAGGAAAATACATCAAAATCAATCGTTCCCATCAAGCAATTAAACAATATTTTTCAGTAAACTGTATAATTTTCAGAAAAATGGCAAAAGGATGTCACCAAAAAAACAAAATCCACATTCTCAACCCTTCAAAATGATAGATAAAAATAAAAGAAAAAATCTTCAGTTCGCTGTCTTGTGTGTTGACAGAAGTACATAACAGAATAGTCGCGTGAGAAGATGGTCGGAGGTTGAAGACGTTCCTTCAGGGCTGCTTGGGAGTTTTTTTTCACCGGTGTTGGATGACGCTACTGTTTGAGCGATCGTCGGAGGGAGAGGAGAGTCTCCTTTCACTTGCTGATATCACAGCCTTCAGGGCTGCGAGGCGACGTTGCTCCAACCACCAGATCGCACCAAAGGATCACCGCCACATCACCATTACCACCATAGCTTACACCATCACCACTATTATAATCACCACCATCACAGCCTAATAGCACCTCCACTACCAAAAATAATTGTCGAAAAAAACCACCTACAAACACCACCACACCACCAATTGGGGATTTCTTCACAGGAGAAGGTGATAAGCCAAATGAAAATGAACCTACATGAGAATTCCTAGTTTTGATGCCAGAATCACCTGGGGATCTTGGCGAATCAATTGGGGAAAAAACAGAGGGAGGCAGGGGAGGGATTTGAATCTTCAACTATGAACCAAAAAGAGCCATTCTGCTTGGACGAAAAGGAAGACACCACCACGCAAAACTAGTGATGCTGCTGCGCACAGCGACACAGTCCAATTTCGCGTCGACGTTGCACCTCCCACAACGGCAGATAGCACTCTCAGGACGTTCCGTGCCGGCATTGAATCGCCTGAAGACCACAAATAGCACTCTCAGTGCCGTCGACAGGCAACCGCGGAGCTCTCAGTCCGATTTCGCATCTACGTTGCACCTCCGACAACGAGATATAGGTGGTGGTGGTTTGGTGGTGAAAACAGACGAGAGAATGATGAGGGAGAGAAATTTGAATTGGGTGGGTGGGGGTGAATAGGTAAATTAGGTTTAATTAAATTAATTATTAAAACCTAATTAACATCTGATTTGTGAAATAAAAATTAAACCACCTGATTTTTGAAAATTAGTCTTCAAATGTAGGTTTCTAGGTAATTATCTCTTTTGATTTTTATTTTTTTTAAAATGAAACTAGAAGCAGCAACTAAACAACCCATGAACTCACTGTTGCATTTTTTTTTTTTTTTCCTTCCAATAAAACAAACAGCTGCAATTAAACAACAAAAAAAATGAACTGCTTCATTTTTTAAACTAGAACTTAAAAGGGGAAAACCTGGGAACAACTTCTACTGTTACCTAATTATTCAGGTCTTAGATTTATGTATTCAGGTCTGTTGCTATCTCAATGAACACTTGATACTCGTGTCATGTGTTCAAATATATTATTTGAAAAGATAATTAAACTAAATAAGATGGTTGAGTTCTAAAAATTGTGAAATTTATGTGGGAGGTCAATGGTTCGAATCACATTCCATGCTGAATATGTGATTTGATTGTTGCATCCTAGGAGTGATTATCCAAAGAAGTCGCAGCAGTTTAAAGTGTACAATTTTAGTTTAGTACACTTCTTGTCACGAATTTTGATAGATCGATAAGTTTTCTTTTTGTATTTTAATTGTTATTCTTGAAAGGTGTCTGCAACTGATTTTGTCCGACATCATGTTTTCCAAATAACAGAAAATCTCCTCACATTTCATTGTGGACTAAACAATGGAGATGTGTCTCTTTATAAAAATATGCATGTATTTTAATTCAATTATGCTCCCTTCATTTTCACATTTTATTTAGAAAAATATAAATAAAAAACTAACAAGCTCAACTTATGTAATACTTCGAAATTTTATAGGTGGATATGCTAGTTTAAGAAATTTTCAAATCGATTATCAACTTTCCAATTTTGCTAGGGACCAAGTACAAAATAGCTAAAACTATTCTTTTTAGCTCAACTAAGTGATATCGTTTTTCTAAAAAGCTTAAGGACGAAGTGAAATTTTTGGAAAATTTTCAAAAACCATAATTTGAAGTCATATGAATGTTTTTATGACGTCTCGTAGCGAAAAGAGTGGGTTTGAGGAGCTTAAACCTAAAAATAGGTCCTAAATGTAGTAAGTACAAAATTTAGTGACTAAATCGTAAATAGTAAGAGAAAGTGCCGAATTAGTAAGAATTCAAATTGAACATCTTTTGACAATTTTGAGATATTGAGGGACTAAAATGAAAATTAGTTTTGGAGTGGATTTTTTGTTTGGGATAAATATTTAATTATTGAAGCTGAAGGAATTTATACGTCACTATCCAGTTCAAATGTAACTCGTGTGAAATCACGTTGAAATATGGCTTCATGGCGATCAACGTGAATTGAATCGTCTCATTAATTAAATTTTCAATATTAACAAGGGATGAGTTTTATAGGGGAAAAACAAAAAGGGTTGGTTTAGATTTCTTTAGAATAAGTTTTGAAAAAATAAGTGGCTGTTCTCTTTTTGTTTTAGTTTTGTGTTTTGAATTTTGAATTCATTTTGGATTTTGTGTTTTGAGTGTTCATTTTGAAATTGTTGAAAATGTGTTCTTTTTGACATTTTGAAAAATTATTTTGAAAACACCGAAAACGCGTTTTGAAAATTTTGACTTGATTATAATTAAAAACACTCAAAATGACAAATATTTCGTTTTTAGGTTTTCTTTGTAAATTTTTAACTTGTTTTTAAAAATACGTTTTCAAATATAGGAAAAAGAACACGTTTTCACTGTTTTGGAAAACAGAAAACAGCTTGAAAATGATAAAGAGAACAGACCCTAATTTTTTGGAGAATATAAGATTATAAAGTAGAGAAATATTATGATTTTATAGACAATATTATTTTATTTATTTAAAAATATATGTAACCAAGCGTGACAAAACAAGAATCACATCATCCCCACCAAAATATTTACATCAAATCAGTTGTAGTCATGAGAATAAATTATTATTACTGTAATATTATAGTACACACCTCCTACTGCAAGTCATTATGAGAGTTTGTTACTTTTTTCACAGAAGAGAATTTTCAAATTTTAAAAAATTGGTTCAAACAGCTCAGATTCCAACCAACCACTGCCCTTTTTTCCTGTAAATCCTACAAAACTTTCAACGAATTCTTATACAACGCCAAAAGTTGACAGTCCGGCAATAATTTGACGCCGGCGGCTAAATTTCAAGATTTAAAATCGAGTTGATTCACTATAGCAAATTTCTAAAAAGCTTAAGGACGAAGTGAAATTTTTGGAAAATTTTCAAAAGCCATAATTTGAAGTCATATGAATGTTTTTATGATGTCTCGTAGCGAAAAGAGTGGGTTTGAGGAGCTTAAACCTAAAAATAGGTCCCAAATGTAGTAAGTGCAAAATTTAGTGACTAAATTGTAAATATTAAGAGAAAGTGCCGAATTAAGATTATTTAGTAAGAATTCAAATTGAACATCTTTTGACATTTTTGAGATATTGAGGGACTAAAATGAAAATTAGTTTTGGAGTGGATTTTTTGTTTGGGATAAATATTTAATTATTGAAGCTGAAGGAATTTATATGTCGCTATCGAGTTCAAATGTAACTCGTGTGAAATCACGTTGAAATATGGCTTCATGGCGATCAACGTGAATTGAATCATCTCATTAATTAAATTTTCAATATTAACAAGGGATGAGTTTTATAGGGGAAAAACAAAAAGGGTTGGTTTAGATTTCTTTAGAATAAGTTTTGAAAAAAATAAGTGGTTGTTTTCTTTTTGTTTTCGTTTTGTGTTTTGAATTTTAAATTCATTTTGGGTTTTGTATTTTGAGTGTTCATTTTGAAATTGTTGAAAACGTGTTCTTTTTGGCATTTTGAAAACACTGAAAATGCGTTTTGAAAATTTTGGCTTGATTATAATTGAAAATACTCAAAATGACAAATTTGTCGTTTTTGGGTTTTTTTTTTTTTTTTTTTTT